TGATCTTTGTTTTGTCCATGTTCATCTTAAGACCTATCCGTTGGGAGACACCATTGAGGTCATTGAGCATAGTGCTAAAGTCCTCCAGCGATTCTGCCATAAGGACTATATCGTCGGCAAATCGAAGGTGAGTGATGTACTCGCCATTGATGTTAATACCGTATCCTTTCCAGTCCAGTAGCTTGAAAACGTCTTCCAACGCAGCGGTGAAGAGTTTCGGGGATATAACATCACCCTGTCTTACACCTCTGCAGTTGGATAGGTTTCGAACTCTGGTTCCGTACTTATTGTATGTTATCAGTATCCGAATGACTGCAATTCAGTCGATATTACATAATAAGCTGTGTGTAAGAAAGCTGATTTCCCGCTGGGTTCCCCACAACTTGTCCGAAGAGCAAAAGGCGGCTCGTGTAGATTGGTGCCGGAATACTCTGCAACGCCTCAACGGCGGGAAATAAAACGCCGTTTATAATATCGTCTCAGGTGACGAATCATGGATTTATTCATACGAACCTGAAAGAGAACATCAGTCAGAAGTTTGGGTCTTCGAAGACGAGGTCAAACCAACGAATATGGTTCGCTCCCGGAGCGTGTCAAAGAAAATGTTTGCTACGTTTGTCTCGAAAAAGGGGCATGTTGCTACAATTCCTTTACAGGGACGCAGAACGGTTACCGTTGAGTGGTATATCACGGTTTGTTTGCCAGAAATGATAGCTGGACTCCGAAAAAATAACTCGAAACGTCGCATCATCTTACATCACGATAAAGTGAGCTTTCATACGGCTCCGAAGACAAATGGATTTTTGAAGCAGGAAAATGTTAAGCCATCCTCCGTACAGTCCTGACCTGATCCCAAACGATTTCTTTACATTCCCTAGAAAGAAAGATTTATTACGCGGTCAACGGTTTGACGAACCCGAAGCAGTTGTGGAAGCGTACAAATCAGCCATTTTGTCAACATCAACTTCAGAGTGGAATTACTGTTTTAATGATTGGTTGGCACGAATGGAAAAATGCATTAAGTTGAACGGAGAATACTTCGAAAAACAATAAAATACAATTTTGCTATACTGTGCATGTGGTTTTTCATATTTCCGATCATTTCAGTGTGCCCCTCGTAGACTTTAAAACCATCCAACCGATTTTGATAAAAAAGGTTTGAGTGTTTGAAAAGATCCCTAATTGGTTTATATTTACATTTGAACCCGGTAGATGGCGCTGTTGTACATGTCCATTAATGAGCCGTTTGAAGCCGGGGCGGATCGCTAGAAATAATTACAATTAAATTATACCTGTGTTTTGGAATCCTTACACAAACAGTTTAAAACATTTTACTTTCTCACCGTTTATCAGATAAGTATGATATTTTGATATGCTATTACCCAGTCATTTTATGACGATGTATAAGTGCTTACTAATCAACCAAAATATATTAAAACAAAGTCTTGACACCGCGCCTGTCTGTCTATCTCAATCAATCATCAAAGTTCAAAAACTTTATTAAACTAAGTGTATATAAAAAGGGTTATTATAATATTAAGGAATTTATGGATGGTAAGTAACTCCTGGGTAAGGTGATCGCTACCAAGCTATTCCTAATTTGTTCTGTGTTGTTAATTGTTACTAATATTCTTTTTTTTTTTAAAGTCTCACTGGGTTTTTGCAGGTTCTTCCCAGGCCAGGTGTTTTTTTTCCGAAAAGTGGTAAATTAAAAAAAGTGACTTTCAATAAGTATTATTTATAATCTAAATTTAATAAAAAGTTTATGTTTCGGTACTTCTATTAATAACATATACTTTATAAATTATGATATACAGTAAACAAATACAGTTACATAAAATTTTGTTTTTGTAACACAATCAGTTAAAACATATTGCTATCCTATGTTGGTAATATTATAAATATTAATGAACATATTATCCCTTAATCATCTTGGCTTTAATCATATTACTTTAATAGTATTTGGGATGTACATTCACAATCAATCAATACATGTCAAAAATAGAATCCATACGATATTTGTACACAGACGGGCACTATATTTTGCCGGAACTAGTGATTTTTTTTCCATCGATCTCAAAGTAACTATAAATGCTGAATATACCTACAACCTTGTTTTATATGTATTATAATTATTCACAGTGCACTATTTTAACTTATAATACCGGTGCAAAGTACTAGAAAATCGGTTCTGTTCGTTTTTAGGTTACTGTTAGATTCACATTTTAATTGTTAATTTCTCAGTACTCCGTTTAGATGCAGTAAAACAAACAATACTATTGTAATCTATAGCATATATAACATTTACTAAAATTGTGGAGGGTCCACTCTGCATACAAAAAGAAATTGTTACCTTTAAGAGTGGAAAAAGCTTTAAATCTGACGAAGTAAATACTGGGAAGGGAAAACTTAGACACGGAGTGATAAAGTTATTATTCTCTTAAAATTTTAACTAATTGCTGTATTTTTTTCATAATTACGTTTTTTAAAAATTAATGAATGTATTTTCAATAATTTCGTAAATATATAAATTGCACTAAAACTCATCCAACTATTTTATCCTATAACTAAGTATACTAAACAAAAATATTTATGCAAGCGACTACAAAAAATCTATCTATTTGTAATCGAGTGGTAAAATGGAAAATTTTGTAACGCATTGTCAATTAAATACGCATTATTAAGAATAACTCAAAACTACTGGTCAGAACTTGATCAAATTTATATGGGACCACACGAGAAACACCAGCTTTCAAATAAAAAAAATATCAAAATCGGTTCACTTAAAAAAGTTTTGGCAACACATATAAAAACTTCAGTGGTAGAGCTGTAGGTGGACTAACAGTGGTAGAGCCGCAAGGCTGCTTTTGCTGTTGCACGCGTGGGCTGGCTCAAACCGCGGTGGTACCACGAGCTCACAGAATACCAGCGTCAAGTAGAAGCTCTGCTTCTGCGTTTCGTCTGGTGAGTGAAGGTGGCCGCATGCCCAATTTCACCCGCCCTCATCAACATGGTAGCGGAATTAAATAAGAGACTACCCCAAAACAGTACCAGCACTGCTGGTAACAGAGAATCCCTCGCTGACCAGCCAAGCTATTCCACTCCTGAACGTAGATGCTCAGGCTGCCCAGCGTATTATGGGGGAATGAGGTGACAAAATTCCGTTCAAGATAAAAACTGAGCAAAAACCCCAAAAACCGGGCTTCACTCGCACCTAAACGCCAGCCACTATCATCTGGAGATAGCGAAGCTGACCTTGCTCTCTCTGACCGAGACTTAGGTGTCCTGCGGTTTCGCCTTTTCTCCGGTTACGGATAAACAGCGACGACTATCATACAGGTCGGAAAATTGAGACGGAATGAGGTCCTTCTTTGCATCCTACCCATGGGGGCGCATTTGCTACTCGCTGGATGGTCTTAGCCCTGCTTCTGACTCTGTCACTGACCATGATCCATGATCTGTGGTACCCATCGGAGGCAGATCCCAACCTTGGTTTTATCGTTCCCGTAAGACTGCATTAAGCAGTAAACAGGAGTGTTATTAGGCCTGGGCTTATGCTTCGGCGACTCGGTATGTAAACACCGGCAAGCTTAAATATAACTTCGCCTCCAGGTCCTTCAAAAGAGTTATTGCCAATGCAAAGTATGAGCACATTGGCAGATTTGGCGAGAAATTGGTTCGCCTTCCTTCAGAAATCCGTGCATTATGGTCTCTGGTTAAGGCTGTCCAACGGAATTTCTGTAAGCCATCACTACTATCTTTGCACAGGAAGGACAACTCACTGGCCCACGCGCCAAAAGCGAAAGCCGATCATTTAGGCTCTCATTTTGCGTCCATCTCGAGTCTCGATGACAGGGAAAACACGCCGGGGCCAACCAGCGGTGTGAGTACTCTATGCCTGACATGCGATTCACGTAGTATTCAATACGTAAAGCGCTCCTCTCCCCGGACGAAAACAGAGAAAACACACCGGGACCGTTTGGCAGTGTGAGTGCTCTAAGCCTGATGTGCGATTCACGCAGTGCTCGATATGTAAAGCGCTCCTCTCCCTGGACATCAACAAGTCGAGTGAGCCTACTCACTGGGCGTAGTACCGAATTTACACAGGCCTATCGCCATCATCTCCATGTTCTCCAAAATAATGGAGTCATTTATTTACAGCGAACTCACCTTGAGGAGCACCAGCTGATTAGTAACCGCCAGTACGATTTCCGTCGGGGTCGCTCAGCTGGTGATCTTCTTGTTATCTAACACACTGATGGGCGCAGGCGATCAAGTCTAAGGGCCTCCCCCTTTGGCCGTTAGTTTGGACATAGCGAAGGCCTTCTATCGGAGCTTCCTTTTGATGGGTTTTCCGAGAAATTGTGCAATTGGAACACCAGTTTTTTGTCTTATCCGAGAATCAAAGTCGTAGTAGATGATGCATATCTGATTGCAAGCCTATTAACGCTGGTGATTCACAAGGCTGCATGCTATCACCAACGCTATTTCTTCTGCATAGCAATATGTTGCAAAGCGGTAACATTCATTGCTATGTTGCTACGCTTTATACACCGCCCGTGCTATTATTTCTTGGAAAATCGTCGTCTACTACCGGAACAAACTTGAGTTTGAAGTAGAGCAATTGTTGAACAAAGTCTCGGATTAGGGGCGACTAAATCTAATCCAATTCAATCCCAAGAAGATACGAGTTCACGGCTCGATACACTGGCGTGTTGGGAGTATTGGTGCTGGGAGTATTGGTGCTGGGATGGGTGGTGACAGGATTAGTGCACTCAATTGAGGGAGGCCGGGAGGTGCTCTTCAAACTAGGTAAGACACATCATTTTGTTTAGTTTCTGATCTATCAATTATCACACACCAAATATTTAAAAATGGTTATTTATGTTTTAATATCATAGAAATAACTTCCTGATTTTAATCAAAGCCAATTATTTCAATATTAAAAACTACAATTCTATTTACATATACTATAAATTATGAATACCTGAGGAACTAACATATGTGGCCTTCGACTCTGAGATATCTTGTTTATCATCAATTCCAAATTTAATTTTATCATAATATGTTTCCATTTCAGAGATGTCCTCCTTATCTTTTATCTCAAATTCGAAATAGCAATCTTCATTTCTTAATGTTAAGTTATTTTTACTCCATAAAGGCAACAAATTACTGTGGTGCTTTGGAGCAACATTCAATGTTGATAGGAGTGACAAGTCTACAGTATCTAATGGTAAGACATATTTTCTATTTGTTTCAAGTAGCTCCATGTTCATGTTTCAAAATTGTATGCACATGTATCTAAAAAGTATGAACTCAGAGTTAAATTTGTTAAACATTCAAACTAATGAATAGAATTATAAAAGTTACTTGACAGAAATTCTTCTTTTTTAAGGATGTGATGAATTAGGTAAGATCCTTATAAAACATAAATTAATGTGTAACCTATTGAGAAACACCTCCCTCATTGAGAAATACATGCACTATAACCGTCATCAAGAAAAAAATTAACTACAATATGTAACTCCACTTAGTGTGTCACCTTAAAGTTATTTTTCCCTAGCGATGTCTTGTTTAAAGGAGAAACACATTTTTGATTATCAACAGTATTTCTTAGTGTAACGATGTTAGGGGAATTGGTGTAGTGATGTTGGGGGAAGTGGAAGCAATTTATATGTAATGTAATACCTTGAATAAAACTAAATTTACGGATTCTATCGCGTTTATTTAACTGATTTTACTTATTTTTAATTCCCGACGTTTCGGGTGCTTTACAGCAACCATGGTCACGGGGGGGACTGAGATGTTTGACGTCCCAATGACATTGTTAGCCCGACTACCTTCAGTTTTTAATATTAATTTTTGGTCCGATTTACGCAAAACGAGCTTACAGTATCTTGAAGTCTTGCAGTGGTATGCTTGGGTTTAGGTTTAATTTTGTTAATTATAGGATCCCAAACAGATGGCAGCACCCAACCATCTTCTCTATTGAAATTAGGATGTTTTTTAATTTCAATAGCCTCGCGTATCATTCTTGGTAGGAATTGGTGTTCTTTTGCGAGGATTTGTGGTTTATCAAATCTGATGTAATGGTGGGGACGATCTTGAACATGTTCACAGACTGCAGACTTCCCGGAGCATCGGTGATTCACGTCAGCTATATGTTCTTTCACGCGGGTTTTCATGGATCTTTTTGTTTGACCTATGTAAGAGAGACCAAATTCACAAACTTGTACACTCCTGCTAATTGTAGAGGGATATTACACTTGACGGATGGTAAAAATTGGCTAATCTTCTTCGGCGGCTTGTAGTATGTTTTAATGGAAGCTCGATCAAGATGTAGCCAACCTTGTCTGTGACTCCTCTGACATATGGTAGTACAGCAGGCACACGCTCGACTGTGGCCGGCTTCACTCGGTCACTGTGACGTAGGCGCGGGATCCGAAGCTTGTTGTCTTGCAACACTTGCTTGACATGCTGCAGCTCGGCGGCCAGATGTTTTCTGTCACAGATCCCTCATGCTCTCTGAAACAAAGATTTACCCACGGTAGCTAACTGTGAAGGATGATGATGAGATTCACCATTTAAATACCGGTTGGTATGGGTCTTTTTTCTATACACAGTGTGACCAATAGTGTTATCAGGATTTCGGAAGACTAAAACATCTAGGAAAGCTAAAGAGTTATTTGCCTCTAACTCCATTGTGAATTGTATTTTAGAGTTTATAGAGTTAAGGTGGTTTAAAAATGCAGTTACTTTGTCATATGGTAAAATTGTGAAGGTGTCGTCTATGTACCGCTTGTAGAATCTTGGATTTACAGGAGCAGTTAGAAGGGATTTCTCCTCGAAGTCCTCCATAAATATGTCGGCGACTATGGGAGATACAGGTGAGCCCATCGCCACACCATCTACTTGCTTGTAGAACTCTTCCTTCCACAATAGATAGCCAGATTTGAGGCAATGTTTGAGTAATACTGCATATTAAGCAGGCATGTTGTTATCTTCTAGCTTCCTAGTTACAATTGAGATGCAGTCTTTAATAGGTAGGCATGTGAATAGTGACTGAACATCAAAACTGACCATAGTTTCATTGTCAGCGAGATGTAGGTCTTTTATCTCACTAACAAAATGGTATGAATCCTTTGTGTGTGCTCTGGTATGTCCTCTCAGTGGTGACAGTATATTTGCCAAGTGTTGTGCCAGCTTATAAGTTGGTGAATCGATCTGGCTCACTATAGGACGTAGTGGAGCGTTTGGTTTGTGTATCTTCGGTAACCCATACAACCTTGGTGGTTTGGTACATGATGGTATTAGCGAATTCACGTCGAGATTTAATTTTTCGGAGTATTTCTTTATTAAATCGCTAGTTGCTTTAAGCGTGTTAGTTGTAGTTAAGCCGGCCACAGTCGAGCGTGTGCCTGCTGTACTACCATATGTCAGAGGAGTTACAGACAAGGTTGGCTACATCTTGAAGCGAGCTTCCATTAAAACATACTACAAGCCGCCGAAGAAGATTAGTCAATTTTTACATCCGTCAAGTGTAATATCCCTCTACAAGATGCAGAAGTGTACAAGTTAGATTGTGAACGTGGTCTCTCTCTAACATAGGTCAAACAAAAAGATCCATAAAAACCCGCGTGAAAGAACATATAGCTGACGTGAAGCACCGACGCTCCGGGAAGTCTGCAGTCTGTGAACATGTTCAAGATCGTCCCCACCATTACATCAGATTTGATAAACCACAAATCCTCGCAAAAGAACACTGATTCCTACCAAGGATGATACGCAAGGCTATTGAAATTAAAAAACATCCTAATTTCAATAGAGAAGATGGTTGGGTGCTGCCATCTGTTTGGGATCCTATAATTAACAAAATTAAACCTAAACCCAAGCATACCACTGCAAGACTTCAAGATACTGTAAGTTCGTTTTGCGTAAAACAGACCAAAAATTAATATTCAAAAACTGAAGGTAGCCGGGCTAACAATGACATTGGGACGTCAAACATCTCCGTCCCCCCCGTGACCATGGTTGCTGTAAAGCACCCGAAACGTCGGGAATTAAAAATAAGTAAAATCAGTTAAATAAACGCGATAGAATCCGTAAATTTAGTTTTATTCAAGTATTACATTACATATAAATTCTTCCACTTCCCCCAACATCACTACACCAATTCCCCTAACACGTTACACTAAGAAAACTGTGTAGTGTTCGCGTAAATTTAAGAAATCATAATGTAATACCTTCTGAAAAGTATGTGAGAGTTAGACAAACCATCTAGGCTTCAATAACTAATAAATTATGAGAAAATTATTTTAATCATTTTAGTTTTAAGTAAGTTTTTCCTTTTTATTTGAAATTGTGGAATCAACTTAAGACTGTGCAGATTCCATTAACTAAATATGCAAAGTAGCATTTTCCTAAGAAAACTATTTACCAAGCTTATTAGCATCGCAATATATTGATGAAAATTCAAGTATTTCCCTGACCTAGACCGTGTATTAGTGGTGTGATTTTTTTTAATGATGACTTGGCAATCGCACTACACAATCTAATTTAATATAATATGTATTACTTGTGAGATACTTTGTGTTTTCATGCGATGGCTTCTTTAATTTATTTAATTAAAACATAAGATTTTTAATATTGATATGGTCACTATAATATGTTGTTAGGTTAGCTAAGTACGTAATAACTTAAGACAGAAGGACCCTTAAGTAGGGACTGAATAAATTAACCAACTTGGTACTATATGGATCTCACAACTTTTTATAGTAGAAGAACTGATTTGCGAGACTTGTTTTGATTTCTTATATTTACGCGTACACTATACATTGATTAAAACTACTTTTACGGATTTTATCGCGTTTTATTTATATTAATTTTAATACCCGACGTTTCGGGTGCTTTCCAGCACCCATGGTCACCGGGGACTGAGGTGACTGACGTCCCGATGTCAAAGTTAACCCGGAGTACCTTCAGCTTTTTAATTATTGTCTTTGGTTCGATCTACGCAGAATGAACTAACTGTATTTTGAAGTCTTGCAGTGGTATGCTTGGGTTTAGTTTTAATTTTATTAATTATAGGATCCCAAGCAGGTGGTAGTACCCAGCCTCCTTCTCTATTGAAATTAGGATGTTTTTTAATTTCAATAGCCTCACGTATCATCCTTGCCCATCTAGAATATGATCGCAAACTGCAGACTTCAGTTTGCGATTCGAGTCGAGTCCCCCGTGACCATGGGTGCTGGAAAGCACCCGAAACTTCGGGTATTAAAATTAATATAAATAAAACGCAATAAAATCCGTAAAAGTAGTTTTAATCAAGAGACTTGTTTTTTTTACAAGTTATGTTTTTAATGGCATATTATCTTACATTAAATACATTTATAAATGATACAATTTTAATTTATTAATTAAAAGTATCTCTTAAAAGTTTCATTCCAATGCTTGTTATACTTACACATAGTAGCAAGCAGCAAGTAAATATTCAATCTTTTTTTAAATAGAATTAAAGTGACAAACGAGCATTCCACCTGATGGTAAGTGGATGTTGTGCCCCATAGACATCTACATTTATCCTCAAATAAGAATCAATACGCAGATGTGTTGTCACCCCTGAGGACTATAATAGAATGCCTCGTTTCCAGTAAAAAAGGGTCTTAGGATCTATACACTTACCATAAGAAACACAGCAGTATTAAGTTGCTATTTTACACTGGTATTTTGTGAAAGTGTGGTCCTTTCCCGGCCGAGCCGACCCATTAGTGCTACAACCATAATATAGCTCCAGCGTAGCTCTACCATGTATAAATCTATGGGGAAGGTAATAAAAGAAATAATGAGTGAATGAAAAGGTGATAAATGAGTAGAGTACACATTCCACCTTATCAGGTGCTGTGGCACATAGGCACCTACGTCTATCCTCAATTAAGATTTAAATGCAGTCACCCACTGGGAACTACAATGGAATGACTAGTTACGAGACAAAATGTTCTCCAGTTCTTGTCAGTCTCCATATGAAACATTATGCTACTATTTCAATCTGTATTCTGAGCAAGCATTCTCTTTCCATGTTTGAGTGGATACATTCATGTTAGAGCCCCAATGCAACTACAACATGGCTCTACTGTATTCAAAAACAGCACTTTTATATTATGGTAATTATGATGGGTCTAAATGCACTTCAGACCATAGCACAGTAGTGGGGGATAGTATGGTGTATGGTGGGAGCTCATAAGCAGAAAAGAATGAAACCATCTAATAATTTGAAGCT